AGGACTCTGCAGTTTAGACTCATCTACAGGCCAGGACTCTGCAGTTTACACTCATCTACAGGCCAAGGTTGTGCAGTTTACACTCATCTACAGGCCAGGACTCTGCAGTTTACACTCATCTACAGGCCAAGGTTGTGCAGTTTACACTCATCTACAGGCCAGGACTCTGCAGTTTACACTCATCTACAGGCCAAGGTTGTGCAGTTTACACTCATCTACAGGCCAGGACTCTGCAGTTTACACTCATCTACAGGCCAGGTATCTGCAGTTTACACTCATCTACAGGCCAGGACTCTGCAGTTTACACTCATCTACAGGCCAGGTATCTGCAGTTTACACTCATCTACAGGCCAGGACTCTGCAGTTTACACTCATCCACAGGCCAGTGGTCACTCTTTCAAAGATGAKGATGTTCTCATCCTTGATAAAGAGGAACGTTGGTTTGAGAGAGGAGTAAARGAAGCCATCTTTAAGAAGAGAAAATATATGTTATTGAGCGAGGCCTCCAGGGCCAATTGTCCCCCTCTTACACTGTTGTGGACAATAGGGATATTCAGGGCACAAATGCTCAATTGTTAGGCTGATGGTCCTCTTTTGCATATGAACAACCAGTTTTGATTGTCATTGCTTAAACTTGTTTGACGACCATGTGGAGGCAGTGCTTAAAACACTGAGTTCACCTGAAACTCCTTAAGGCTGGGTTATAGTCGCGCTTTGGGTTGTTGCGCAAGCTCAGTGGAGTGTGCTCACTCCTGAGCCGYRCGCTGTGTGAAAACATAGTTGACGTTCATGTTATCGCAGTTCTTCCGTCACCGACAGATGGCAGTACGGTRCCAAAGCAGMGGAWAAGTAGTCGGGAAGAGTGAAGAAGAAGAAACGCTTGACGTCACACATAACAAAGTAAACACATTTACCTCTTTTTCCATATTATCTGTTTCTCTGTGCTTCACRAACTGAGAGAGCCACACTGGTTTGTTTCCTCCAGGATCACAAACCGGTCGCAAATATTTTTCYATGTCGTCCGGCATAGTAACTCATCTGTTTTTAAAGCCGTTGCTATTTCCTTCCATGAGTTTTGTGCCATCTGGTTGTCTTTATGATCTCTCATGGAGGGATCATACAGATGCTGGTACATTCGGACCTGTTCAGTGAGAGCACCTTCACGANTTTAAAGCCGTTGCTATTTCCTTCCATGAGTTTTGTGCCATCTGGTTGTCTTTATGATCTCTCATGGAGGGATCATACAGATGCTGGTACATTCGGACCTGTTCAGTGAGAGCACCTTCACGATGAGTGGCGCGCAGCCTTTGTGGAGCTTCAAAATTTCGGAGGTGCACGACCATGAGCCAGGACACAACGCTGGGCCAATGCGCGGGGTCGGGGACGCCGCAATTGCGTAACTTTTGACGCAAACCCCCTCGCGCCCTGTGTGTCACGTCAAACATAACCTAAGCTTTAGAATGAAGAAGTCTCTTGGAGGAGAGACGTTCTGAACAAAGAACTCCTCCAGAGGACCTTCTCAACTATTATTGATTTTCTACCTGGATTATTAAGATGCATCAGGATAAATTGTAGTATGATTTAGTGTTACGCTCTGTATAGTAATATATGCAGAAGCTAATATATACTAGATATCCACTTTAAATCAGAATCTGAACAAAGCTAAAAACAAGATCCGAGCTTTAGGACGTTGTGTGAACGCAGCCTAAAACACACAAAATGGRTGGCGAGACTTTCATCAACTGTGGTGTGCAGAGTGGGGTAATTCTTTCAAATATCAAAACAAAATGACGAACATATGCATCTTTTCCTCACCGTCTTAATGGTTACATACATTAACGGATGATTCTGCCCTCCTCAGAATGTAGAACAAGAACATGCAATTAACCTCCGGTCACCTCCCTCCACCTCAGATTTATCTTCTAATCAGATACTCGCTGGTAAACTTACAACTCGTCTCCTCTGCTGGAGATGCTTTTAACACAATACCTGCCTGATTACGGTGACACACCTACAGCTCCATTTGGCAGAATTTCAGGCACCAGAGTTGGAATATTTAGTGGTTAGACGGCCACAATCAGCTGGTGTTAATATCCTGCATGTAGAGTCTTTCGTATCCTCCTGCAGCTTCCTGACAGAAAACTAAACTTCACAAAAAAGTGTCAGTCTGTTGGTTTTCTTTTACTAAAATGAACAAATATTAAGTTTAAACAATGTTTAAAATTCAGAGTCCCAAAGTTATTTCTCATCATCTGACCACCACTACAGCCTTGTCTGTTAATGGTTTTGGAGCGATGTCTGAACCAAATTTTTATCAACTTTTGGAATGACAAAGCCAGCATCCTTAAGTCTGAGGTCCATGGTTCTCAACCAGAGACTGGTGGAGTACCTCCTTCGAGTTGTGAGGGGTAGTCTTTGCCTCAGGTGGATGAGTTCAGGTATCTGAGCGTCTTGTTCCTGAGTGATGGTAAGATGGAGCAGGAGATGGATTGAAGGGTAACAAGAGTGTTGATTCAGTCTGTCTTGGTGAAGAAAGAGTTGAGTGTGTCGAAAGGTAAAGCTTTGGATTTACTGGTCCATCTACAGTCCAACCCTCACCTGTGGCCATGAGATTTAGATTAGGACCCAAAAAACTAAATCTTGGATCCAAGCAGCTGAACTGATCTTCCTTTGTTGGGTGGCCAGGCTCAGCCTTAGAGTTACACCAGATCTGCATTGCATCCGCTCTGCTGTGCTGCGAAGCCCAGAGGTGTTTTGAGAAGCATGCGCAGGAAATACAGAGCGGACGCAATGCAGATCTGGGGATCGGGTGAGGAGCTCAGAGTTGCTGGAGTCAGTTGAGATGGTTCTGATCATGATGCCTCCCTTTGGAGCTTCTCTGGATATGTCTGGAAATGTGTTGAAACATGTATTCACACGTCTTTTCACTGGAGGAATAACTTATTTTACATGTAAAAAAATTAACAAAAATTTGGGTTTAGCTCCAGTTTCAGTACTTGTAGTTGCTTTTTATTTAACATTTCATCGCAGCAAAAATTTCAACAGCTAAGTTGCTAAACATACACTTGAAAACAAATTTTCCAGACTGCGATGAACTTCTAAACTACACCAACTTGGAAAAAATAAATAAATAAATAAATAAATAAAACTCCACCATATTTGTGTTCCTGTTTAATTTGCTGACGTTGCATTAAAGCCTGGGATATCCTCTGCCAGGAAGGCTCCTCAGATGCTGCCTTCAGTTTTGTGATTTTTTGGCCTGGGAACCTTTTGGTTCGACTACAGATAAGGTGTAGAACAGAAGTCTTCAACCCTGTTCCTCGTGACCCAGCACCCTGCATGTTTTACACACCTGCCTGGAATAATGAATGACTGACGGGTTTATGGTGAAATGTGAGCAGTAGCACAGGTGTTAAAGTGACAACATTCTGAGGAGGTAATTTAATATTTTGAATCAATTATGTCAAAGCAGGGAATCAGCTAAAACRTGCAGGACAGTGTGTCATGAGGAGCAGGGCTGAAGACCTCTGGTGTAGAAGATGGAGATGGAGACAGCTCCACAGAAGAAAAACAAGAATGAGGCTAACACCAGAATAATGCGCTACAGTTTTCACAACACAGAAGATTTGTCTGTTTAGGTGAAGAATAGCTTCAACAGCGCAGTAAAAATGGTAAATTAAAGCAGTAACCTTTTTTACACTAATTCTGGTTTTCTTTGGGCTTCCCGTACCAACCCTAAATCTTGTCGAAGCGATGCTCAGGTCTCGACGATGACAAAAAGGTGAAAAAGCAAATGTGTCTTTAAACTTATTGCCAGTGATATTGGGCCTGACATTCCTGTTCCAAACTTCTGCACCGATTCATCCAGTTGTCAGGGGGTTTCACTTAAATTTATTGCTCCTAGACAATGAAAAGAATTTGCCGAAGTCAACATATCACTCTTTATGTCCTTTAGCTTTAGCTTGAATTAAGAGCTTTAACGTTCTGTAAATATCAGGGTACACAATACAACTTACAGTTTTTCACTTTGCTCTCTGAAACCTCTCTGGAATCACTGTTTGAAATTCCCCACAAGTTCTCATTTATTACGTTTTTGCATCTCCTGAGGTTTTCATTTCCTATCGAAGGTAACCAGGAAATACTAAACGCTCCAAATGCTTTTATATTACCCCCTCACATCCCCCTTCTTACCARAGGTAATTGGTCTCGCGGTGAAGTTTGATTCTTTCATCTGCAGTCCTGCTGCTTTTCTGTTATCGTTCTGATTTACTTTGACGGGGTAATGATCTCTGAGCTCACACATTGAGCTCAAACTGACAGTTAGCYCATGTGAATTATTAGCACTTTTTGCTTTTAAGTCACTTTCAGGTGAGTAGTTAAGTAAAGGAACAATATTTAAATAATAACACAYGTTTTGTGAAGAAAACAGCTTCCTAAGTTACTTTGTTTCTCAGGAAGTAAACTTTTTTCTAGTTTCTTTTTTTTCTCATTAYGAGCAAATTAATTCTCTCAGGCTGGCAGCCAGCAACCTGTGAAACAAGTGGAGTGTGCGTGCACTTGTGCGTGTCGCCGGGGTCGAGAAGTTGTCGTCTCAATGAGAAAAAAAAGAAGAAAAAAAACGATGGCGCGAGGTGTGATAACGCGTTCCTCACCGAGACGCTCGCTCTCCGGCGTGTTCGCGCTCGCCAATTAACAGAGACGAGCTAAAAACGGAACGACGAGCAACACGCCTCGATCACGGCGTGCCCTTCTTTTCATTCTTCTCTCGTTCTCATCTCTCACCTGCTGTCGAAGTGGCTCAAAAGGTTATTTGTTAGGCTTTCTGGATGAAAATAAAAATGTGTCTTTTTAATTCAGTACCTGTGAATGTTTTATGACACAGAGAGCGGCGCCGCAGGAACACAGTGTCGGACTGATGGATTCGCTGTGCAGGGCTGGTAGAAACAAATGTTCCATAAAATGTTCTCGTTTTATTCAACAAATCCAAGTTCACTGAGGTCCCTCGGTTCATTCACAGATTTCTTTCAGAATACAGGGAAAGATAATACATTACTGCTCTTATTTATTGTCATGGCTCWAATCTGTGGCAGCTTTTTAGAGACGGAAAAAAACATCCCCTTTTCAGAATCACATTCATTGGACAGTGCAAGCAACAATACGGGTYGTAGTTTATCCAGGTGGTCCTTTTATAAAACATATAATAATGAAGGAGTGTTTGCTAATACAGTGACTCTCTTACACATTAAAAAGGTTCATTCAAGCCATGCAAACACACCTCTGCTGAATTCAGCAGCTTTGCTACAGGAAACAGTCATTCAAGCTAAAYGCTATCTACCTTAAGAGGTCATTGCCCATCCCCTTCGTTTTTCGGTACCTTTGTTTCCTAGTATTTATGTTCTCTGGTACAGTGTCTGCACTGTATTTATTATTTCTTTCATTTCTTTAAAAAAATAAACATTTAAAGGGAGTGCCAAGCATCTTTCAGGATGTTCATTATTAACCTGGGGGAACTTGAGCATTGCTCAGCTGCAACTTTATACACCCCCCCCCCAACTAAAGTCTCATCTGAAAATCTAATTTTGTGTTGTCTCGTTTCTGTTCTGACAGGCAGGTTACATCAGAATCGATGGCAGTGTGCCATCATCTGAACGGATTCAGCTGGTCCATAAATTTCAGAGCGACCCAGAAACCCGGGTGGCTGTTCTCAGCATTCAAGCGGCTGGTCAGGTGCTTCTATAAAAACTCACAGCACTTTAAAAGTTTACTTTTTTAGATAAATGTAAGTACTAATGTAAAACTGGTTTGAAGTGGCCCAAAATAACCAATATACAGATATATTACGAATAGAAAAAGACCAAATTAAAGTCTCCTATTATATACATGCAGAAAGGCTTTCATTAAAGGGRTCCCCGATTAGTGGTAACATTAGACTTTATTTGATGAACATATATTTTAACTGTAAAATAAAAACTGTAAAAATGCTGTAGGCTGTTTTAGTTTTTATCATTTTTTAACTAAATGTTTAAAAATATATTACACGGACGGGGCCATTTTATTTGTATGCAAAGCATTCTGGGTAAATGATGACGTGGATAGGTCCTCGGTGCGAGGCTGCTAGCGAGCTATATCCACCATGAAGGTTAATCTTGGACAATATCTGATGATCGACTCTTTTAAATGAAACCAGAGAGCGTTGACAGAGAGGAGAAGGTAGAAATGACTCAGCCTGTAACTGAAAATATGGATGGAGGACCTCAGTTTAGCTTGTTTGTCGTGCTAGCACTGAGCTAATACATATAAGGTATATAGCGTCGGTGCTAGTGCAAAGGCTAACAGGCTAAGCTGAGGTTCTTCTTCCATGAAGCAGCTCTGTTGTCCTCCATCCATATTTTCATTTACAGGCTGAGTCATTTCTACCTTCTCCTCTCTGTCAACGCTCTCTGGTTTCATTTAAAAGAGTCGATCATCAGATATTGTCCAAGATTAACCTTCAGGGTGGATATAGCTCGCTAGCAGCCTCGCACCGAAGACCTATCCACATCATCATTTACCCAGAATGCTTTGCATGTAAATAAAATGGCTCCGTCAGTGTTAAAATATATTTTTAAAAATTTACAAAATTAAACAGCCTACAGTATTTTTACAGTCTTTATTTTCCAGTTAAAATATATTTTTATCAAATAAAGTCTGTTAGAACAAATCAGGGATCCCTTTAAAGAGTTTCAATAAAATAAAGCGTAGTTTCATCGTTAATGGACTTATTTTTCCTCTCCAGGGTTTGACCTTCACCGCTGCCAGCCATGTGGTGTTTGCCGAGCTCTACTGGAACCCTGGACACATCAAGCAGGCGGAGGATCGCGCCCACCGCATTGGGCAGACCTCCTCTGTCAATGTCCACTACCTCATCGCCAAAGGCACCTTTGACACGGTCATGTGGGCCATGCTCAACAGGAAGGTACCGTTACGACTAATGAACGCAACATTACAGAGGAAATCTGAAGGGAAGAAAATAGGCATCTGCGTTGTCTCAGTTTTTATCTCTCGTGTGTTGATGATTCAGAGCTGAATGTCGCATGTCCTTTAGGAAACGGTTACTGGTAGCACCCTGAACGGCAGGAAGGAATACCTGAAGGCTGACGAGGGTGACAAGGACAAGTGGGAGTTCCTCAGCTTTGCTGATGCCTGGACGCCGAGTGAKATGGTGCTATCACCAGAGGGAAACACGGGAAATGTGACAGATGACAGCATATTCTTCACTCATGTAAGTTGGAAGAAAGAGTTTATTTATTTCTTTATTTCTTTCTTTATTTATTTATTTATTTGTTTTTGGTATCTGATTGAGACAATTTATCAAAATTACCTATTTTTGTTTTGTTGTGTAAAAACAGTTGAATTCAAACAAAATKATGTCGTGTCAGATGTGGTTTTCTTTTATGTATTATGTGTTTTATTGGGCTTATCAGATCAAAAAATGTTCCTCTGTGCAAATACTTACATGTTGAAGTGTGGTTCTGTGGTGAAATGATCAACAAGTAACATCCTACCTGGTACAGATTTCAACGACTTCTACTTGAAGAAAGAAAGTTTGTCTGACTCGGTGAATTTTATTAGATTAGAGTTGTTTGAAGACCTTAGTCTTGGTCTACTCAGGGTTTTTGATTGAACATTCTGCCAAGGCATGGGTACCTTTGACATTTGTATCGATTTGGTACCATTATTCGGTACCTGGGAATCGCTACTGGTACTTAACGGTACCAATTTTTGGTACTTTGTGTGTGTTGTTTTTTAATTATAAATTTTTTTTTAATTTAACATATTTATTTCTCAATATATAAAATTTAACAATATCAAGACAGCATCCAACTCTTTGTATTGTAATATCAATTACTTAACTAATTTCTTTAAGGTGAAATCTCTTGAAAACAACAAGACTATTTTGTCTCATTGCACAAATTAAAATCCAGCTCCACATATTTCTATTGATGTCATTTCCCCGCTAGAAAAATTGTGTGATGGAGGTCCATGGAAAGCAAATAAGTTTAAATCAAATAAGCAAAAGAGGATTGAGTTAAAATAAATAAAAGGTATTCAAGCTACGTTTTGAGCATCCAAAACGTGTCCAACACGTCAAGCTGGCTGCTTGTGCTCTTTAGGTCAGATGTGTTCGGTGTAGCTAAGTCCCTCTGTTGTTTTCCTCTGCTGGTCTCTGTTTAATGGCGGATGAAATAAAGAAAGTGGCGGTACTTTATTTACTTTGAGCAAGCGAACATTGTGCTCACAAGATAATTAATCCACCAGATACGGCAGGTAAAATAAGTATTGAACACGTCACCATTTTTCTCAGTAAATATATTACTAGAGGTGCTAATGACATGAAATTTTCACCAGATGTTGGTAACAACCCAAGTGATCCACTTTCACTTACTGAAATTTATCTAATACTTTGTACAAAAGCCTTTGTTGTCAATGACAGCTTCAAGAC